TGCTGGCTTATGGTTGGCACGATTAATGTTTCATAACCGAAACTCGTGAACCGGTCCTTAATTGTCATGAGCACGACCATCAAAACCATGTGCTCACAACCCACCATTACCAGGTTTTAGTTGGCACATTAATTAATTAACCAATCACGATTGACCATCGTGAACTATCATTAAGCAAATTATAGTGAGTCATAAGTTATCCCAATAGTGAGCTAATGTTTATAAGCATGGCTGAGCAATTACATCTAATACATCTAGTTGAACCAATATATAGAGCCCAACTAGTCAAATTATAATAACCCAAGGTATCAAGGAATAAAGTAATCAAGAACAAAAGGGCTATAACAAAGAATAGGTTAATTCCACCCAATGACATTCGAAAATAAATGCAATAGTTGAATAGAAACAATAGCTTTAAATAGGATCAACATGCTCAAAGGGTTGTTTGGGATCTGTGTGACTTGCCTTGCTGGCCTTGGAACTCTTCAAACTCTTCTCCAGCGAAAACGGACTCTCCGGAAACGACGGAATCTAAGCAAAAAGAGCAAAATCACCAAAACAGCACATAAACAAGCATGAACAGTACATGTGGATATTTTTAACATGTAGATCTCAATTTTAGAAAAATTTAGAGACTTGAACCAACTAAATCGGAGCTAAGATGAATTAGTTATGAATTTTTAAAGATTAAATCGGATTAAAACACTTATATCGGTTTAAATTGAATTATGACGCAATAATGAATTATTTTTGAAAAGGAAAAGAAGGTTTATTGCGTCAGCGGCTAGGGTTTCGGTGGACCGGGCGCACGGGCGGCGGTTCACGCGAACGGACGGCCGAGATCGAACCAATCCAAAACGGACTGCCGAGATCGATCGGGTCCACGGCGGCTCACGGCGGACGACCCCGATGACGTCGGCAATGACGTCACCGACAGCGGCGGCGGCTCGGCGGAGCGGACGGCTCGGACGGTGCACGCTTGCCGGCGAACGGCGGCACTAGGACGCAAACGGAGGCCACCAGCACGTAGAGGACGACGCGGCGAACACACCGGTGACCAAAACGGCGGCGGAAGAACAACGGACGACGACGGCGACGAGGAGGAAACGGCGGTAACCTTCGGGTTGACGACGGCGACGAAGCTCCGGCGATCTCCGGCGACGGCGAAGGGGCGGACGAGGACGGCGACGCGACGGCGAGCATGACGGCGGCCTTCCCGAGCGACGGCGACGGCTGAAACGACGGCGGCGCACGGCTGGAGCGGCGGCGGCGACGGCAAAGCTAGGGCACATGGCGCTAGGGCTCTTCCGACGACGAGAGGCGAAGACAAGGGCGGCGACGGGTAGAGGAGACACCGGGGAAGCTTTTAAAGGGGCTCGGAGGCGGCGGCGAAGGCCCACGGCGGCGGCAACGGCGAAGGAAAGCTCGGGCTTGGAGAGAGGAAAGCCGATCCGATTCGAACTCGAATCCATCGATTTCCAAACCGATTTAGCCGAAGCTTCCAAAGAAGAAAAGGTAGAGGAGATCCCGAGGATCATTTCCCCTCTTTTGATTCGGCCGGAGAAGGAAAGGAGCGGCCGAATTTGGAAAGGAACGGCGGCGGCGGCACGCTAGGGTTCGGCCGGGCGACGGCGGCTCGGGGAAGACGAACCTGACAGGTGGGCCCCACCTGTCAGCGGGCGGACGCGCGCGCGGCGGCGGACTGGGCCGACTGGGCCGAGGAGAGAGAGAAGAGAGGTTTTGGGCCGACTTTCGGCCCAAAGCCAAAAGAAGACTTTTTAAAACCTTTTCAATTTAAATTATTTCTTAAATGCAATTCCATTTATTAAAAATACTTCCTTAGCTCAAATAAATCCCAGAAAAATCTAGGAATTATAGAATTAAGCAAAGTATTTAATAAAATTTTTTCTGGCCCCATTTTATATTGGAATTTATTAATTAAAAATTAGATATTCTCTTCTAGGCTTTTAAAATAAATTCTAGAAATTCCATTTAAACAACAATTTATATATTTATGATTTTCAGGGTGTGACAATTAGATGTTGGTTTAGGAAATGCTTAGCCATGCTTAGATCAACTAACTCACTATGGGAAAACTCACTAATATCTTAGACCTTGGTTATTTGTGATGACATTCGATATGTACCACCATGGTATTAATTGAACTAAAAATATGCTTAATGGTAGACCATGGGTGCATGGTTTTGATAGACGCACTCATGTTATCTAAGAACTGGTTTGCGGGATACCCTGGAAGAATCACAGTGTGTACCACAAGTCAGCATGGGCAACGACTGGGCTTGTAGTATAGCTCTTCCCTCTCTGACGTTCCCAGGCGAGGTTGGGTGTGATGGAGTAGGGTCGGCCCCGGTTTTAAGGGCTGATCGGCTTCCTGATTCACCGCGGCACAAGTGGGGGCTGCCTACCCCGGTTTTAAGAGTAGGGGTGAAACCTGAAGTGTGATTTGGTTAGGGGGAGTTATGCGAAGGGTCCTGTCACAGTCTCTTTCTGGTATGTCGGGGTGGCATGTCGGCGCACGGTAGGGATAGCATTTTCCCTGTTAGAGGCGGGGACCCGCTGGGTACCCACCCCTACGTGGACGGGGATGGGGCTGGTTTTCCACCCGTGGGTTGGACGGGGATGGGGCCTCGCATATTTGTGGGGCCGGGGACGGGTGAAGGGTTCCACCCGCGGTCCCCATGTGGCCTTGAAATTAAGAAAGATAGAAATATAAGATGCCCATCAAAAAAGCCCATCAAGTCCACAAAAAAGCCCATCAAGTCCACACAGGGGATGATATAAAAGAAGAAAACCCTATCTCTGACCATTCTAATTCTCGATCCCACCGAGCCGCCACCTACACATGACGCGTGAACGACCACGGCGTTAATGCATGGAGTTCTCTTCTCGCTACTGTGGTGTCGGATACCTGCTACTCCTCGCGCTGGTAACATCTCCCTCCTCGCGGCGCTGCATGGCCGTGTGCTCCTCCTTGCACCGCCGGTCGCTTGATCCTCCTCGCGCCGCGAGCCGCCTGCTCCTCTTCGTGCTGTCGGCCTCCTCACTCCTCCTGTTCCTCTCCCAACTACGGGTGCTCTTTCACTCCCAATGGCAGAGTGACTTCCTACGGGGACCCAGCGGGTGCGGGGACGGGTAGCATTGTATACTTGACTTCCTCTTCGCGGCCAGGGCCGTGGATGAAATCGGGGGTCGGGGACGGGGGCGTTCTTGCCCAACCCGGCCCCGCCCCGCCCCGTTGCCATCCCTAGTGCACGGGAACGTGTCGTGGGGCTGTGTCTTGTGGGTACATTTGTACACCTCTTATTAGAGTAAAACTATTCGAATAGCCGTACCCGCGGTTATGGGCGAACAATCAGACTTACCGTGATTAGTCTCACCCTTAATAATTTGACTTAATGGAACTGGTTTAGTTCAGGTGGTTGGTTGGGCATGTTGCAACATGATGTAGCGTTGGACAGGGATGATTAACATTGCTTAATTAACTTCAACAGTTTTACTACTTTCAACTTCTATTTTTAAATGCTAGCTTTATGCAAATAACCCCCTAGCCTCCTTTGGAATTACCTTTCATCATGCCTTCTCCTGGTACAACTTCTATTTTTAAATGCTAGCTTTATGCAAATAACCCCCCTAGCCTCCTTTGGAATTACCTTTCATCATGCTCTATCTTCCCCACCTCAAAGGCATAGTACTTTTCGGATGGGGGTTACTCGGAGGAGTAGGCTTCGTCGCTGCTGTCAAGGATGCTTGTGGAGTGGACTTGCCACGCTACGAGTGTCAAGTTATCTAGTTTAGCTCGCTTTCAATTCCGCTGATATGTAAGACTTTGTTAAGTTTGTGTGGACCTGTGTATCAACTTTGTTGTTTGCGTACACTGGCTGATCCTGGACAGGTGTTTTAATGCACATTCTACTTGGGAATTCTGGCTCGTGAATTTCTGGGCATGACAAGTTGGTATCAGAGCCGACCTTGACCATAGGATAGCCAACTGGAAACCCTAAGAGCTTTCTGAAACCTTTTCATATGCATTGCTCTTTGCATTTGGATTTGTTTCGGGAAAAATCTAGGATTTGTTCCTTTGGTATATGGGAAAAATCTTGATCGCTTATTCAATTGGAGTTTCTCGACTAGTGACAGTCTAGGGTATTAGTAAATTTATTTGGAATTTATTTGACGGTCGGTCAGGAATTAATCGGGAGGAATGCATTAGGTCCTAATTAAGGTTTATTGGTTGCAAATCTACTTATGTTGTTGTTGTTGTTGTAATTATTATTATTATTATTCACGTTACTTTATTACCTAGTTGTATCGATAGCATTTACTTGATCTTACTTGGTTATTTATTTGAGTCCTTTCCTGCTTTATTTAATTTGGATTTGGGCATGCATTGATCTTCATCCTTTGTCTTCTATAGATGGCTGACTATCCCTCTAGACACCGTGGTGAGAACATGGATGGCTTCATGGCAGAGCTTGGCTGCATGACAATTGTGGTGGGTTTCCCTATGACCCAGAGTACACGAAGCTACGTCCCCTCAGTGGCAAGCTCCCGCATCAGGTTCGCTTGGAGGTTCATGGCATTCTCCCACTGTTCTGCCCAACATGGTGATGACGGCTATAGGAGGCACCTTCGAGCACGCTTGCTAGGAGGCTGTTTCTAGGATGATTGCTAGGATAAGGGAGTTGCATGACCACGACCTTCGTAGCACTGCTTACCGCTACAACCCTCGCCGTGGCAGTTCTGCTGACGCCAGCACCTTCAAGTCAGTGTCTGAGGAGAACGACACCACCTTTGGACGCATGTGCTCTGGGAGAAAGAGTTTGGACAAGATGCACGCTGATCTTCACAAGGCTTCAAAGGTTCTCAACGACAAGAAACTCGTGAAGATAGCTAGCTTGGAGGACGAGATATCCCATCTCAAGAAAGAGAATGCCATGCTCTAGAGACATCCAACACCAGGTGGGCTTAGGATCTGCACGATGCTGAGGAAGTCCACCACAGCTCCAGTGCGCATTCAGCTGGCGCACAGGCACCCACCTCCACCGCCTCCAGCAGTCCCAGCACTAGCTCTAGCCACAGCTCTAGTTCCAGCACTAGCTCCAGCTCTTCTACCTTCACTAGTGGCAGCTCCTGCACCCGCTCTTGCACCAGTTTCAACCACCGCCCTAGTGCCAGTTCTCACCTTAGCTCCAGCGTCAGCTTTCCGGGTGGTTGGTTGCTTGCTACACCCAGTGGCAACTGTGGTTGGTTAACTGTTACACCCAGTGGCAGCAGCAGCTCCAGTTCAGAGGCAGCCAGTGGCTACACCCTCCTGATGGACTCCAAGAGTCTCTCAGAGGAGCCAGCAGACAAGCAGGAGACCGGCTATGACTCCACCAACCGCAGGAGCTGCTCCGAGCATTAGGCTCTCTACCCTTTAATTTATCACTTTGCTTAGTTCACTTGCTTGTTAGTTTCCATGATTAGATCTGTTTGCTTGTGGGTTAGTTGGCGGTCGATACCATGTGCCTATGGTATGGCTGTCCTAATAAGGATTTGTTTGGTGTCTTTTAAGTGTTTTTCAGATCAGAACAATTGCAGTTTAATTATAATGTAATAAATCTTAGTTTCTGTTTTTTCTCCTTTCCCATCCCCTTTCCACCTGTTCCCCCTTCAGATGGTCAACACCAAGACTGGCAGTCGTGTAGCAGGCGATGGCAGCAGTAGTGAGGAACAGACTGGTGATGCTCATGTCAATGGTGCGACAGGCAACGGTGCACCTCCACCATCGGAGAATCCAACTATCGCTCAAGTGCTGGCAAACCAGACACAGATGTTTACCATGATGATGCAACAGATGCAGTAGCAGCACCAACAGATGCAGCAGCAGGCTCAGCGGTAGCAGAACCAACAGTTTGGTCCTCCACTCCACCTTAATCCAAGTTGCCGGATTTTCCCCGTGTCGGGCCACCTACTTTCTCAAGCACCACCAACCCCATGGAGGCCAACGACTCGCTTCATGCCATTGAGAAAAAGCTCAACCTTCTATAGTGCAACAACCAGGAGAAGGTTGCCTTTGACACACACCAGCTGTAGGGTCCCGCTTCTGCCTGGTGGAATAACTACTTGGTCACCCATCTAGTTGGAAGAGAAGTCACTTGGGTGGAATTCTATCGCAATTTCAGGAAGGCTCAGTTTCCTGATGGGATAGTGGCACAGAAGAAGAGGGAGTTCCGAGCAGTCAACCAAGGCAGCAGGACAGTGACAGAGTACCAGCATGAGTTCAACCACAAAGGGATTTCACACTCTTGCAGCGAAGGAGGAAAATTTACGTCATAAATCAACAAAGATGGATGAACTAGGCTAGAACTGGCAAAAAGTAGATGCAATATTGAAAAAGAGATTCAATTGGTTAATTGCGTTGAAAGTAGATTGTGTCCTCCAATTAAACCGGCCTTGTCCCTTATAAAGGGGTTGGTATTGCCTGCTACAGGTCCACCTGCACGTCCAACTCAGGGTAGAAACCAATGAAAACTCGAAAAATACCTTCCCAAGCAAGGAAACACGAGACCTGATGAAAATAAGCTCGAATTCAGACTCTGCCGGTCTGACCGGCCACATGCCTCCGGTCAGACCGGCCTCGTGAGGAAAATTCGACGCCTCCCATGAAAGAACTCAGTGCACGTTCAACATCAATTTCAGTTTATTTTCCTGCTGAGCCAGCCATGGATGACATCTTCAATCAGTATGGGATGCAATTGGCAAAGTGTATGGAGGTAATTGACAATTTGGCTGCTAGGTTTGAGGCGAGGAAGACCCAACCAGGTGTGTTTGTGGTGGACATTCATGTGGATTTGATATGCAACAACAGATACTACCCTGGGCACACCTCCTACCCCCAGCCCCATCTCATGTCATGCCAACCAATAGTCCTGCATGGCACGATGAGTTCTTGATTAAACATGATGAGCACACGACAGACACCAATGGCATGGTCACAAAGTCCAGCTACACTTGTGAGATAATTCGTATTGTGTTATGGTGTGCACTAAACAATTGTGAACCAAATAGCAAGGTGCTGGACCCAGGCTTTGGTATCTTCAAAACCGATCGTGTTCCTTATATCCTTTGTGCTGACAACATCATCCCCAACACCATCTGTACTGCTCCTATCAAGGAGATGGAACTCAAACCATAGCCTGATCCAAGATCAATCCGAGGGGGTGGATGGGTGGTAGCGAACCTTCTACACTCGTGGCCACCCCCTTGTCAATTTAGACGCGATAGTACACGGGTTGAACATCAATCATGGTTACCGTTCAAGCTGAATCAAGGTATAGTGCGACCAAGGAAATATTTTACTCCAACAGCTCAAGTATGTGTGCCTGTTTATCCATTGGAGTCTCTGCTAAGAGAAATATCAAGGTTGGAGTGGCGTGAGTTGAAACTATGTCCCCCCCTTCTGAAGTCAAATACAAGATTCCTGGATGAAACATTGGCCAACCTTCTGTTTGTCATTTGGGGAAAATTTACAATATCATTGGAAGTTCTTTTGGGAGGAACACATAGTTATGATCAGCTATCCAAATTTGCATGAAACATAATTAGAAGTTCTATGTACACAACCAATCTTGGCTATACATAAATGTGGAATATTGGCTGATATAGTTGCTCCACCTCACTGTTGGAGGTATAACACGAGGACCTTCGACCGGGCCTACCGAAACCAGGGATCTAGGTGAGGACTCAAGCCGGAGGCGTGCGGCGAAGGCCGAGAAGGCGCGACTACGTCCATGAAGACAACATGGGCGAAAGCCGTAGGGTGAAAGCCGTGATATGAAGCAAGTGGGCTTCACCGAGGATGGACCTTGTTGGAGGGCCGAATAGGCAAAGATTCTAGGGCGAAAGCCTTGCCGCAAAGGGCACGGGTTTCGCCGAGAACCGGACCTCACTGGAAGATGGCCCAATGGGCCATCGTGCCTTCCAAGGGTTTCGCCAATGATTGGGCCGAGCTACTTAGTCCATTAGGGGCCCACGCATGTAAAGGACACAATATGACCCTAATAATGTCCCTATCATAAGGGTAACCATGTAAATTCTCCTGTAAAGCCTAAACCCTAAAGGAGGAGTATGTAATAGGGCTATAAATAGCCCCCTAGGACCATGTACCAGGGGACACCTGAAAATTTTTTACTAAGCAATACAATTGTCTTTATTTCCAACTACTGTTGAGAGAACCACGTCCTTTGACGTGACGCGGTTGTCATTTCGACAACACTCACTATCCTCTTCTGGAGCTGCCGTTCCTTGGGTTTGTGTTCATCATTACTAAAGAGCTTGGGAAATATATGTATTACAATCAACTATTTGTTGATGAAGATTATGGAGCTGGCAGTACAAATGGATGTTTTGGTGTTGCTATGGTTAATTGGAGTACAGAAAAAGGTATGGATTCCCTGGTTATTGCCAAACATAGCCATTGTATACCGGAAATAAAATGTGTTATCTATCGGCTTTGTTGAGATAAAACCTTGGACACCGTCTGTGCCTGTCAAAAAGGAAGTGATAAGAGATTCTCATGTTCAGAAAAGACATTGGAATAGTGGCATTCAGTGCTATATATTATTTCTTCTGCACACTTTGCTGGCAAATTGCCACCATCATAGAATTATCTTGAGAGTTCATATACTATTTCAAGATTTCTTAGTATAATGAACCACATGCTGGCCTTCAAAGGTTCTCAATTTTCTCAAGAATCTCTGCACAAAATAAGCAGCTTATCCCATCCTATACTTCTATTTCTCTCTGAATTTGTGTCACCAAACATTTTATCTTGTGTTGGAATTGGAGTTTCTTCCCTGTGCATGTTGTTAATCTGTGATATTCGAGTTGGATCGTGACATCGTGTCATATCGATTGAAGGATAAATTCCTGTTTGTGAAATTCTCAAATCCAGTAGTTATTGTATAGGTTTTTCATTAGTTTTTTCAGTTCGGTGAAGTCTTTAAGAGGTACCAGTAGGTAATACCTCTACTACACAAAAGCTAATCGGTGCCAGTTGGGAACCAGCCTTAGGTGCCGGTTTTCTCAACCGACACCACCGAGGCGGTCATCGGTGCCGGACCGGCACCATTAAGCCTCAGGAACGCAAAAAAAGCCGGCTCAATCCATCGGCTCAATTTGAGTAGATGCATCGAGAAATTTCACTTCAAGAACAAATGAACACAACATGAACATCAAGAACATGAGATGAACACACAAGTTGAACACAAGAACACATGAACACAAGAACACACATGAACGCTCCAGCCAGGCTATCGCCGAGTCCCTTGCCGCCGGGCCGACGCCTTCCCTCCCGCCACCGCCCGTCGCAGCTGCCCCCACCTCCCCTCATGTCGGGCCACCGCTCCCGGCCAGATCTGGCGGAGGGGAGGTGCTGCTGCCGCCTCCGCTGTCAGGCCGCCACCTTCCCTCCAGCCACCACCCGCCGCCGCCACCCCCGCCTCCCCTCCTGCTGGGCTGCCGCTCCCGGCCAGATCTAGCGGATAGGAGGCGCCGCTGCCGCCTCCGCTGTTTGGCCGCCGCCTTCCCTCCAGCCACCACCGCCGACGCGCGAGAGAGGTGACGGGAGGGTGCGAGAGAGCCGAGGGAAGAGAGGAGAAGAAAGAGAGAAGAAAGAAAGAGCGATGACGCGGCTTGTGGATAAGAACGATGCTCGGGCAGAGACTCGATAGTGGATAAGAATGAGAGCGGTGATTCGGCGGCTCGGCTCACGGCTCGGTTGTTAAAGGTGTCGGTTTTCATAAAAACCAACGCCTTTAATTTAGAGTAAATTCCCTGTGTACCCCCTGAAAACTCACTCAATCCCTTTCATACCCCTGAAATTTACCCGATCCCTTCTATACCCCTCAAATTTCAACTTGATCCCTGTTATGCTCCTACCGTTACATTTTCCTTCATTTCACTATTACATTTGGTTGCTAATGTCTTTTTTTTCCCTTGATGCTTTAGGTTTGAATATAAGCTTGAAAACGATTGAAAATTTTGCTTGAGTGCATAGTATGTGCATTTTATAAAACTAATGAGACTAAATAATTAGAGCAGAAAATTTTGACATAAAATTTAAAAATAAAACAAATATAATAAATTAAAATATATATTTGAAAATTTTAATAGGATAATGGATTTATTGATCGGGAGCATTCATAAAAAAATTATTGTGAGAATTGGTAGTCCTATCTTTGTATGAATGAACGTCATTTTGTTATGACTTTTTTTTAAAAAAATAAATACATATTTTTTATTTCATTATCTAAAACTAAATTTTGTGACAAATAATACATCGCTCAACAAACTTATAACTATAATAGTCTCATGCGACAAACTTTTATATTTTTAATAATGTAATTCATAAATTTCTATATT